GCTGTCGAAAGAGAACAATTTGGTTAATACTGTTATTGCAAATGATGTCATTTCTCACTGCTTTTGTAGATTATCTGTCCCCAGAATAACAATGTGCTCAACAAAAAAATGATGTTAAAACCACAGAGCTTGTCATGTGATACAGGAAGTCCAAGGAATGACATTAACCAGACAATCCTTGTCAGCAATGCGCCTCAAGAGACAGCAGTAGAAAAAGGTAATGTTTTTATCAGCTCGGAAATCGGTTTAAACGGGAGGTGTTGATTCTAAGCAAGGGTGCAGTAAGATTGCGGAAAATGTCAGAGCAGTACTCCAGTCCTGATTCAGCAAGACATTTACAATGATATGAAGAGCGTGGTTTGTGAATATGGGTGCATATTAGTGTGAATCCTCCTTGTGGCAAAATGGAACCAGATGGAGTATCATGATTTTTTGGAAAATTGAAAATCAATCATCATTGAATACTAACCATGCGCCTAAAATAGTATACAGTAACAGTGAACAGAAATTAAAATAGAAGATTGCCTAAAACAAAAAGATGAATGGGGTGGGAAGGAAAAGCAAGCACTGTTGTTACAGGATTTGGCTAACCAGTTTTGCAAGCCGGATAAACAGCTTTAAAGAACATGCAATCCAGCAATAATGATTAGACCGCATCTATCCTGGTTTGACTTGAGTCATCAAAGAATTGTGTTCAAAATGTCATTGGCAGAACCCCAGCAGAAGATATCTGTTCTACACCCTAATTCTGCTAGTAAACCTATAAACAGACATATTTTGAATTTAAGATATCAGGCCAGGCTAATTCCTGGAAATCAAGATCCCAAAAAAGTATATCGTCTTTTCCTTTAGCCAAAGAATGGCCATAATCTACAACATCCTTCCTTTGGGTGACCATATACCAAATCATCTTCTTTAGTTGGCTTTTAATTGGCTTTGTTGCTCACTGTTGAACTCAGGTGAGTTCAACCAGAATCTCTGGGCTGAACAGCTGAAAGGTAGGTGAATAGTTGAAACCTGACTGCCTTGTCCTGTAAGTTATTTTTCTAACAGGATTGTGGCATGTCAGCAGGATGTAAGACAAGTCTGAACAAACAAAGCTGGAGTTTGAAGGTCAGCCTAGAGTTGCTTCCCATCTGATTTCTCCCCTACTCTATTTTTAAGATTAGATCAGGAACACATCATTTTTTTCCCCTTTTGCATAGGTGCAAAAAAGCGCATTCAGGAAATCTCTCCAAAGCTTATTCAAACATCTTTGGTGATTCCCCATGCATGTATGTATTGGACTGCTTCTTCTAAGACATCCAAAAAAAAAAAATCTGAGAGAAAAAAAGTCCAAAGAAGAACTTAATCTGAAATATCAAGATATTTCTCTAATGTTATTTATCGGAGAGAAATAGATTTGGGAATTAAGTTGTGTGTTTGTATGTGGGGTTCTTTGAAACAGAACAGAAAAGGCAAAAAGAAAACAACAGAAAAAGGAAAAGGAAAAAGAATATATAGGCTTCTCATATATATATATATATATATATATATATA